TTTGGTATTCTATTCAACGCATACCACATTGATATATAACCCAGGCTGTAACGCACCAGGCCCTCCTGTGCGATCATGCGTTTTTGCACTAAACTCGCTGATCGCTATTAGCAGGAATGATCCTTACGCAGTAGCCTAACACTTGGTCTGATATTGGCCGCGCTTTGATCCTTTCCGGCATGCAGGAGAAAGGGAGTCAGTTGGGATGAAGGTAGTGCATTATAGAGCTGCACGGACATCTAGGTGCACGATTACCGGTTTTTTTCATGAGGTCCGGTCGTTTTTTCGATAAATGCTGGCTTTGTGAAAAAATGACAAATGAAAATTTTTTGAAAAAATGCAAATTTCCAGTTCACTGAAAAGTGGGATTATTGCTCGAGCGGTCGTTTGTCAAAAATTAACTAATGTTCATTTACATATACGACTGGGGTTCGGGTCCGAGTTGCGATGGATTTCTTAACGATTTTTGGGTTGACGAGTCTTGATCCCGAACAGTCCTGATAATTCTCGGTATTCTATTCATCGCATGGGCAGTATGAAGGATAGCACAGCGATATATAATAAAAGTTAAACGAACTGGCATGTTGTTCACAGGATCATATCAGTAATTAATACAGCGAAGAAATAAGTAATACTTAGCCTACAAAGAGGAACGTACGTACATCAAACAGGTACTAATAGGTACTAACCGCCGATATAGCTCCGATCGAAAAGTGTGGAATAGTTGTGTCTGGGGTGTGGGGTCATCTCAGTAATATTACTAATATTGGATCACACACACCTACCATTCGGGTAGTACTTGTTGTTAAATGGGAAGAGTATTTATTAAAAAATTAAACAAAACATTTCCAGTTCAACAAATTAAACCTGCTTTACAGTCGTCACTGGGTGGAGTTCTAATTTTCTCGAAATACCAGCTACCAAATTCCAAATCCGCTACCTTCTTCTAACCCTTCGGCCACACTCTAGCCTTTTCTTTCAGGACCCGGTCCTGAAAGACCGGGAGGTCTTTGAGGTGTGAACTATCGCAAAGCAAGCATGCCGCACCACAACCCTGTTCCTATCCAAGCCAGCTGCCCGCTAACCTCTTCTTCTCCAAAACTGTCCTAAAGCCTTTGGGCCAAGGCCCAATTACAAGGCACTCGCGATCTTTTGCACAAAATTTCTTTTTACAAAGTGCAATAAATATTTGATCACAGATAAATTTTTTCTCGCATTTTCTCGAGACTGCTCGACAGTACTAACGATTTTCGTGGAACTGCAGTTTTAATGATTTTCGTGGAATTGCAGTTTTAATTAGAATTACATTACAACTTTAATTGGAATAAATTATATCATTTAAATCATTCAAAACCCGAAGCAAAACTGCAGCAAAAATTTTCCGCGGGATAAATCACGGTCCGGAACAATAATTTTTTGAAGTATAATTTAATAAAAACTAACCCACAGCATTGAGGTCATCTTTGGCTCGTAGTTTCCCAAGAATTAAATCGGCAACAGAAAACATGAAGATAATGGAGCCAGCCGGGTGTGCATAGCCGCTACCGTGTTTCACAGCCGCATTCACCAAACGCGTTACGCATGGTTTGAACGGCTAAAAGAAAAAACTGAGCTAATGCGCAAAAACATCGCAAACAAAAATTGGTACAGACGCACACGCACACACACACACACATACGGACACATAGACAACCCCTCGTCAATATGTCTCTTCTGCACTGCACAGATGCAAAAAACGCAAATAAAAAACCTGCCTGGTGACGCAATACGCTTACCGGCATGTGAAAAAAGTTCGTAATTTTTCCTGCAAAGTGCTTGCTGTGCTAGAATGGTAAACAGTACTATTTTTCCGGCGGATATTTCTAGCTAAACAAATTGCTTTTGCGTTCGTCTGACGGTCGAAAGCCGCCATGCTCAAAGATTTTTGGCATTCCACCTGTCTTTGACCGCAGAGTTTAGTAAGGACTACATGCAAGTGTAGGTGAGACGTAAAAAGAACGTGGATGCTGCTTCCACGTGTACAGGCACCCAAATTGATTGCAGCTTCCAGATGAACTATGGAAGTGCAGGTGGCGGGATGTGAAAGTGCAGGAGAAAGTATTGAAAGTTGATGATGGTGAGAGTGAGATAAGACGTTTCGGTCCATTACACAGTCGCTGACTATTTTTTTGAAAAATTCCGCATTCTAACTAACTGTTTTTGTTCCTTAAATTGTCTGAAAACATCAAATTTCGCGTTCCCCTACGTGAAAAATCAATTTACTTTCTTGAACACACATCTGGATAGCAAATAGTACCGTAAAATAACAGCTTTCACCAGCCTTCTAAGTAGTTTCATTCTATGTGTTGCTACTGTAACCGAAAAATTTGAAATTTGATGCGAAGATTCGTAGGGCCTAGGGAATGCGTGAAAGCTGAATTTAAATTCTCTGGGTCACAAGTAAGGAACATTTTCGCAAAATTTCAGCCTTCTGTTCTGCCTAGTTTCCCGGATTCGCATTCTCGCCAAAAATTTTTTTAAGCGTCCGTATGCGAATATTAGAGGAACGCAAACATTCACTGTACGCCCAGAAACCCGTACGTACGTAGAAACTAAACTCCCAAAGTTCAGCTTAGGTCTTGAGATTAAAAAATTCCGAGAGACGTTAAGTACACACAAACACACGCACGCACATACATACACACACATACATGTGCAGAGAAAACCCCTGACAACATGCATTTTTTACGCGTTTTACGCCACAACATTTGCAAAAACGCATGCTGTCGAGACCCCGTCTTTGTGTTTGTTTGTGTGTGTGTGTGTGTGTGTGTGTGTATGTATGTGTCTGCATTTATTCCGAAGTTCATAACTCAGGAACCAGAGAAGCCAGGAAACTGAATTTTTAAGGGGCATTCCCTACTCACATGTGATCTTGCAAACACAAAATTCAATGCCGACGTACGTCTACATCTCACTTAAGGGCACGCGAAAATTTTGGGGCCAGAACTGGCTCGGGAAGCGCAAAAGCTAAGAAGCTAAAAATTTTGGAAACAAATAATTTCCCCCACCAGTACGTGACTCACGCACAATTAAATCCAGCCTTCATGTACGCCTAGGTCTCACTTACGGACACGTGAAAGTTTTGGCGCCGAAAATGACAGCTTGGGACCCAAAAATTCCCAAATCCCATCCTTAAAAACAATAAAGCGTTTAACACTCCTAGCAGCAAGTTTCCCTTGACAGTGTTGCATACAAGTGCCTGCTGGACAAGGCTTCGCAAGCGTCCGCTGAGTTGCCCAAAACGCTCGGTCGTAGTAGCTATTTATTTGTACTGCAAAGATGCAAAAAAAAAAGCATCAAAAAGTTGAAGGGAAACATGAAAATACAGAAAATTTGGAAAAAATCAAAAAAAAAAAAAATTTCCAAAAAAACCTCTGGAAAAAACTTTCCCACAACTGTTTTACTGAAAAAAAAAAACAAATAAAAAATAAAAAGGTTGCCAGTAAGTGTCTTTGCAGGGCTGCCTTTAAATAGGAAAATTGTGTGCACTTCAAGCAATCTTACCAGTTTTCTGGTGTCGGCGTTTCGCAATTCTGGAAGTAGGCCACGCAGGCAGCCTACTGAATATCCACCTAGAACAGCCCATCCTATTCGACCCATCGCAAATTCCAAATCTCCTTTTGATTCACCAGGCACAATATACCTAAAAACAATCCGAAACAGCTCATTAGGGATCTTGTCAAACAATTCCACGGACTAGATCCTCCTGCCTCCTTCGCGTTCGCTTTCATGGTGTTCGCTTAGCAAGCGTTTGTCGCGAATGTCGGGGCTTTCCTAAAGCGGCAGGCGAAATCCTCAGGCGGTAGGCGAAAATCCAAAAGGCGGCAGGCGAAATCCTCAGATGGCAAGGGAAATCCAAAAGGCGGTAGGCCAAATCCTCAGACCCAGGCAAAAAATTCAAAAAGCGCCAGGCGAATGCCTTTGTGCCGCATACAAAGAACAAGCAACACAAAGTCCAAAAACAGAATGGCTAAAACACACAAAGGATTAGCCCCAATTCCCCCTCCCCCCCTCCCCCCCCCCCCCCC